CTGCTGCAAAAGTGTTATAGTAGGAGTTAGTGCGGTGTTTGGGGAGCATTCCGGTGTTTGTTTATTTCTGTTAATAGGAAGGAGGAAGCTGTGCTGGAGCAGAGCAACACTCGGCTCACAGTCACGTGTGGAGAGTTGCAATAGGGAAATACTCGAACAAAATATCTGGGCACTTTCCATAGAAATAGGAAAACAGCGTCATGAACCAGCCTCGACTACTGCAGATGTCCTGTGCAAAGCCCAGCCGTGCCCTCCATCACCCCAGACAGACAGACTCGAGGAAGTGGACCTGAGCGAGGGAGGGCAATAAGGAGTGCTGAGGCAGAGGAGAGGGGAAAGGACAAACACTGGCAAGAAAGATTGAGGGTAGGAAAGAGGCTCCAAAATGACATGCTGATGCTGAAAGTCAGCTGAACCCAAGCAAAAACCTCCTACAACTCCAGCTAATGAATAAGACAGTATTTTTTTCATTCTTGGGCAAAGCTTTCTTTGGGAGAATGTTCAGCTGACTTCTGACACTCCAGTACTTAAGGAAAAGTGAAAATTATCCTGTATTTGCTGTGGAAATGATATGAGCCCCCTCCTGCTGTGGGACTGAGGAGCGGTCCCAGCAGATGGAGCTGTGATCCTGCCGATAAGTTATTTCTCCTTTCCGCTGAGGGATTTTGCAAGGATGGGAGGTTCTTTGTTTCTCTACAGGTAGTCCAGAGCTGTAAACTCCCAGGAACTTGAGTGGCATTAAACACGAGTATACTTGCAAGGTTATGTCCTCTGGTCAATAAAGCTACAAGGATGAAAACAAGGTTCCTTTTTTGTCTGGGATGTGAAGATGAGCATGCTGGCAGGTACCCCAGTATGAAACAATGCTAAGATGAAGAATTCATAATAACTTTATTGAACATTTTATCTTTTGTGGATTTTTAACTCCGAATTAAGACAAACCTATGGAGCAGTTCTACTTTCCTTAGTACAGGAAAGGCAATGTATTTTCTTGCTCTTGCTCATGACAAAACAGTACCCTAGTGCTTGTGGGCTATGAAGACTACAGTGGGTTTAGTACAAGACTAACTTTGGGCCCAGTCCAGTGTGGTCATTAATTATAGCTAATGCATAACATATGTCAAAGCAAAGGCTGTCAAATCTGTCTGACAGCTACTCACATCTCAATCGTATAACTTGGCAATATGGGCGTTTTTTTCCCCATAATGTAATGCGATTCCAATCAACTGCAGATTGCACTTCACAGAAGGTTCAGTTAAAAGCAGATGCCAGACTCTCACTATTCATCTGGAGACATATACAGTACGTGAACAGAGTAAAGAACTGATTTGTGATTCAAAATAAATAACGTTTCCTTTATTTGGAACCAGAGGCAATACAGAGTTGCAGAGTGTGCTCACCAGGCAAGTACCAGAGGGTGCAAAATACGCATTTCTTTCAGGTGCATTTAGGCACACTGGGTTCTGTGCCTTCCTAACTCTTCCTGGGAAGAAAAATAGAGACTAAAACGACCTTTCTATCTCTATTTTACTTTATACTCAACTTCTTTGTGAGGGAAGCACATGCTGTCTTGTCTTTGGTACTTGAGTTTGTTTCACATCAGTTCTGTTTCATTTCAGAAGGAAATGATCATTTTGTTATAGTGCTTTACTAATTGCACCACTCGCATTCAAATGGGTGAGTAGCCCATGTTTTTCATTAAAAAGCAGCAGTGAGCACTAAGGATCTAGATTTTCTGGAGGTTTCCGTCCATTTAGAAGCTGCTCAAGTGCAGTGGGCTTCTAGAAAAAGAGCAAACTCGTTGTGAGGCAGCAAAGCACACATACCTGATTTAGCAGAATGGCATCATCTCAGGCTGATGCAGAATTTGGCTCACATTAATTTACGTGTTGTTCCATATTTTCCTGGCCTTGCTGTAAGATGTTTGGAAATGGTCTAGTACTTAATGCCCTCAAGCTTTTCCACTCACTTCCTGGTACTGCATTCTGTTCCTGCTTGGTGAAAATCTTGGGTGAAAATTTCAGGGAAAAACACTTGCAGGCTAGCTGTGCTAACCAGTTACGGGTTACCTGTCACTTTCTATTGCAGTCACCAAATGCTTTTATGGCAATATAGAAAGGCTTGAGTCCAGCACATGTGATACCAGTACATCCTCCACCAACTGAAGAATAAGTTTGTTTACACACCGATGTGTTTGGCTACTGGATTTCAAGGCTCTGTGACGATAGCAGCAGACTGAGTTCCAATTCCCATTCCACGTTTGATCTGCCAGACCTAAGACTCTCCTTAATTTATGAATTATCAGGAACAAGTGGATTTTTTTTTTTAAATTAATTTTTCAGGGACAAAATTCCAGTTCCTTTCCTTACAATGAATAGTTTATTATCACAAACATTGTTCCAAATATCCTAGTGAAAAGACTGTTCCTGACATCAGTGGACCTATCAGGTTTGCCCCGTTAAGTCCTCTGTTCTTGGAAACTGCTCAAGCATGGTGTCCTTGTAGTTATCAACATTTTTTATAACAATCCTCACTGAAACCAAAACACAGTGCTTTCTAGCTACTAAAAAGAAAATTAACCCTATTCTACCAAAAAAACAGGACACAAGGTAAAGGGGGGAAAAAATAACTCACATGGAAGAGACATTTGCAAAGCTTTTATCATTTGAACAGAGAGCAAAACAGGATATCAGGAAAGCAACTTCAAACCTATCTGCAAGGACAACATTGCACTTGGAATACCACTAACATTTCAGGGCTTGCTCCAAGATGTTCTCATCCACCACCTTGTGAGGGAGAGTCACCTTCAGTGTGGCATTCTCTTTCATTGCTCGGCAGATCGTCTCATAAGCATAGTCATTACCCGACCAGCAGCGTCTGGCGACCTGTCAGACCAGAAAATCAATGGGTGTAAAAATCGTACATTTCTCTTGCCACATCCATCTTACACAACATTTGTGCAAACACTGGCACCTAATTTCATTAAAATAAATCTTTCAACCTTCTGCCAGCTTCTAGCTCCCTTACAGATTTTCAAAGTAATTTTTTTTTAATACCTACTTTACTTTTATCAGTATTTGGATAGACTCGGTATATTTTCATGCAGAAACATATTCTTGGGCAGGCAGCACTGGCAGAGCCAGGTGCCTTATAAACTCCACTGAAAATAATTGTGCACTCTGTAAAACCAGCACTTGATTTAGATAACAGTATGATTTAAGCAATTTATGTTTTTGTAGTGGGATAGATATTTCAAAAAGGAAAATGTCATTCAATGCATTTTCAAGCTGTGAGGTCAAGGAGCCAAATTCTCTGCCAGCATATAAGGATGAAAATCCATGGACAGGGAACTGGTAAACTCCTCTTCCAACAGCAAAGCTCTGTGTTTCAATCTGTGTATAAGCAAGATTCCCCAGATAAAAAAGTCAAAGATTTGGCAGAAAGGAAATAAGTCCTTCCCTGTATGCAATGCCTTACAAATCTCTCTATTATGAATTGCAAATCAGTGTCTGAAATATTCAGATTTAAAATTGTTCAAGAAAAAAAATACTTAGGTTCCCATTTAGCAAAATATTTAAGCATATGATTAATCTAAGGCTAATAAAAGTTCCCAGGATCATAGCAGTAACACCGAGAAGTGACCTTTCAAGTCAACAACTCAGTTTCCCTGCCACTCACCTATGATTATTCCTGGCAGCATATCTTCAAGAGTACACTCCAGTGTCTTTCCAGTCTTGTATATAATATGGGTGGCATTCTCAGATTGTCCTTTTTCAGCATGTGTATGGAGGAGTGGAACTTTTGTTTGCAATAAATCAGAGCAGCAAAAGATGTATTGGGTCTTTAATAGGCTGTCTCTGATACACAGTGCTTGTTAAGGGTTTGTCTTCATTACTCTAATTTACAAATTAATATAATTGTCCTCCTCCTTTTTCCTTAACAGTTTACTAAGGTGTTATTTCAGATCTGGGACAGGAAATATGTGTAAATTGTTCCTCCTCCTCTTCTACCCCCAGTCATGCCAGGTCTTATGGGGGGAATAAAAAATGTTTAGGTTTAAGGCAAGAAGGAATTCTGCAGTTCTCTTGAGGAATAAAACAGAACAGATCATGTCAGCATTGACAAGGAGCTCCCTCAATACATCAGGTCCTTGTGAAGTTACGTGACTGAAACATAACAGCTTTGTCCTTTAATTGGACTGTGCATCACTATGTTCTCTTGATTTGGTTCCCTACAAGTGTTGAATCAAAACCTCTCTGCCACTTCATAGATGAGATACTAGTCTTAAACCCAAACAGGATCTATCTGGGCACTAATGGAATACAAAAACTCTAATGATAGCAAGGGCTGGACAAGTTGGTTCTTAAATGACAAGCTTTTCAAGATACCTAGATCTAAAAGTTAGCAATAAACAAGACTAAAGCTCAGAGTTGTCAATTGTATTATGTAGGCAAACAACAATGCCAACATGTTCAACAAAATTATCCTAAGCATGCTTCCATTTCTACTTAAAAAAATTAAAAAACCAGACACACTAAGATACATGTAAACTATTGGTCTCTGATATATTGTAAAGCCAGAGAGGGTGGTCCCGACACATTACCAAAGAATTATTCAGCCCCTTTTATTGACTTAAAGTCCTTTGAAGTTGGAGAAAACAAACAAACAACCTGCTGACTCTAGAGAAATCATGCTCATAACCACCCATGTTATAAGCAGAAAATAGAATTAGTCACTCAGCCCATTAGGACTATTCCTGGGATACAAAAAGCCAGATTTTCAAAGCTCCTGCCTGAGTGCTCATACTCCCGTTCAGTTGAAATGAAAAGAAGCACTGGAACAAACATAGTCCCAGAGGAAGGAAGATATTAAAGTGGACATATATAATGAGTTTTGCTTACTCCATTGGAAACATCCCAGCTGAGCATCATCTTAGCCCGTTCTTCAGCCTCTTTGGACCCATCCAAAACCAGGCCAAATCCCCCATTGATCACTTCACCCCTAAAAAGATACAAATGTAAGAGAATTAAATCAAAATGATTCAAACCAATCCCACAGAATTCACAGGAGTGAATTTGTTCAGTTGCACTGGAAGAAGGATGAGAACATGAAACGGTGCTCAGTAAAAGGCACAATCAGTGACCTTTTATACTTTAATAAATAAATAAATAAATAAAATTAGCAGGGCAAAGGTCTAGTTTCCTGGCCTGCAGCAAACCCATTCCACCTTTCCTGTAACGCCCAGCTAGCAGTCAGTATCTGCTCCAAGAGAAGAAGTGCCAAAAATGAAGCTTGTGCTGCATCTCCTGAGGACTTGCACACTGTCCTGGCTCTAGAAACAAGTCAAGAAAGGTTAGCACTTCTGATGGGCTGGAGAGTTACCTGTCTCAGGGTATTTTTAAAGGTTAAGCTGTTTATGTTTGCTACACTCAAGTCTGCCATATAGATAGGATCGTGGGGAAGACTGTGTACTTATTGAAGCAGACAGATGGATCTATTTATATGCTCTTGGGACAAATGAGAGAGCATAAGTATTTTATTAAAAAAGCGTTAGCCACCACAATGCACATCTGCCTTGATCATTTCAAAAACAGTCATTCATTTTGTATGAGATACATAGATGTTTAAAGGCATCAAGTGCCAACTTTTCAGGAAGCAGACTTATTGGCAGAGGAACAACAGAAATATCTTAAAACTAACAGATTATATGGAGGAGAAATACCAGTCTGGTTTTAAAAGGACAGGGAAAACATACAGAGAAAACGTCTCGTCTGACTTGCTGAATCTGGCCTGCTCAAGTTCCTGTTTCTTTGCATATGGTGAATAGTTGTGAATGCAGTTGGATAATTATCTGTTGCTGGAAATCTATGGGTGTTCTGGCATTATAACACAGCCTCAGCAGTACCTGAGGGACGGGGCATATCGTACACCACCACATACTGTGAGAGATTGCTAATGGAGATCCCCAGAGGCAGGATTGTGTCCTCTCTGTTTTATTGTTAATATAACAAATAAGTTTACAAAATTTCCATAGAATAACATCAGACATATCCATGAATCAGACAGGAGTTAGGTGTCTTCCAGTCCAGGAAGGAATCGTTTCTTACTGTATATTTTCCAGCAGTAACTTGAGCTTCTCAGGAAATGGGGAAACGAGGCTACGTTGGAGCCTCACAGACCTGAGATCTACTTCCTGAAACTAGAACTCACATTTTCTCATTTTCAATATGATGTTGATACTTACGTGATGTTAATTCCCTCTCACTAGTTATATACACTACCTGTATGCTATATAGGACCCTATCACATAGCTGAGCAAGGAACTTAGAGATCGAGATGTCACCATCATTCTGTGAACTGCCTCAATTCACCATTATTAGATATATCATTATTACAAATAAATTTTCTCTTGAAAGGCACAGTTTTCTTGAAACTGCCAGTTCTCACACAGAATGTCAGTGAATGAATCAGTTTCTTATTTTTAGCAGGAAAATTTGAAACAGCCAAGTTTTCAATTGAGATGTTTGAATATTATAAACTCTGTCTCTTCAAAACAAAATCTTTATTTTTGATTGATACTGTCAACACTTTTGAGCCTGGAATTTAATTCCCAGGATCTTTTTACTGTGTGAAATCTTTTATTAGTTCTGCTCTTAGTCTCATTTGGGGATGAAAACAAACACCTTAACATCTTCATTTTTTGCAAATTCTACTTTTTTAATAGCTCGTGTTGTTACTGTCTTCTCCAAAAGAGAGGACCAGACTGGATGACAACATTACAAATGTAATTATATCAAGACCAGGGCCAGTTACCTCACCATACTCTGCTGCTTCTTTGTACAGAGACCAAATTAGCACTATTCCTTACTGTCAAAGTACCAAGTTAGAGTACACTCACGAACACCAATGATTCCATTGCAATGTAATTCAGATCACAGTATGAGCACACCTCAAGACAGCCTATTGGCAATATCAGACAATAAGAAAACCAGACCTCTGGATCAGTGCTTTATAAAAACATTCTACACAGGAAGATGATGTTCTGTTGGTGGCAAAGATCCTCCTTGTGCAAAGCATCCCAAAGAGCATCCATTGAAGCTTAGGCATGAACAGCGAGTGTCTGATCTCACTTGCACTCTATAAATTTAGAGTTCCTCCATCGATTTCCATGGAGCTGCTCCAGTGTAAATAAGAATCACTCACCAGAATTGTTCTAGTATCTAAAAATCACTCATAAATTAAATGCCAATGTTTGTTAGGATGGATTTTCTACTAAAACCCCTTACTTTTAAAGGGGAGCTCTCTGCCTTCATTAGCACTGGGTCACATTTTCAGGTAATTAAAGAAACATGTGGCATTTTGACCTAAGCTACCTCCTATAATTTCCAGATGTCGTCTCCTAAGGTGATCAAAGAAAACAAGGCCTCTCTCACAATCAAGATGTCACACTGTCAACAATGCTGTTCAATTCTTAAATTGCTTCTGCCTTTTTGTTACTACAGGTTACTACGGCTCTGTGCTAACATACATTCTTCTGCAAATAAACAGGGAGCAAGAAATAAATAACATTAATTTGCTGTAATTATAGTCAAGACTATGTTAATCCTAAATCTCTCAAACAGCACACGTGATGCAGATTCCAACTAAATAAATATTAATCCTGCTTTTGCTGTTTGCCACACAAGGCTATAGCACAGAAAAATCAAAGCAGGTGAAGGGCACTTCTCTAGTCTTGTAGGGAAGACATTGCAGATCTGTCAGCAGTTCCAGGCAAGCCCAGCCTCTGTGGGAGGACTGGTAGCTGAACACAGTGCAAGTGCCATTTCTGAAATCCCTGAACAGAAACTTGCCAATGACAACTTAATTTCTCTCTAATAACATGCATATTTGTTTATAATTTTTATATATATATATATATATATATATAAAGCTTCCACATGCACTTTCACATTTCCAAATCAGCTGATGACAAGAAGATGTTATCAGGCAGGTGGAGATTTCTTTATGGCAAAGTCAGCTGAATGTTTAGCTCTCTAGAGAAAAAGAAAAGTGGGGCCCTAAAACCTAAGACATCTATTTCTTCCAGGCAAAGAAAGTAATTTGTTATGGTTGGGGGTTGATTTTGCTTCTTTTGCCACCTTTAAGTTGGTCCTCTCTTTCTCCTTAGAAGGCAAAGGGGTGCAGCACTTTAACCAGCCAGGGTGTTGCCATGATTAGTTAAGCTGAGCAGAACCACCTGTCCTGCTGTGGCTTTCAACAGCTCTCCAGACCAGGGCATCTAATGACACAACATTGCTACCGCATCTGAGTCTCAGCCTATTAAGGCTCATGCAGAGACAGGACTAATTTTCAAGCTGTGCATTCTTCATTGAAGCGCAGTAATTTAATCACAGAGGGTGATGACTGCTCCCAAGAACAAGGTGATACTGTTTCACAATGACAGCCACCTAAGCAGCCACAGGAAATGTCAAAAAGCATAACCAAACCCTGTTTTTCCATTGATATTTTGATTTCAGTGAACAGCCACAGGCTAGCTTTCTGAGGCATTACATAAATGACAGCACCTCTGCTCTGCCCTGGGGAAGAGCTTCTTTCTAATGATGTAACTCCACTTAAGAAACAACTGAAACAATAGAAATGAATTTGCAGTGCCAGTTTTCCAGAAGCAAGGGCAGTATCATCATTCAGCCAATCTCTCTTTGAATTGTTCAGAGGGATAGATATGTGCAGGATGGATTTGCCTTGCAGAGGCCAGAGAGACAGGGAACGTGATAATTTGTATCATTTGAGTTAAACATCATCATGCACACACATAAGCAATTATTTTAGCAATTCTAATAATTATAATTATCGATTAACATAAAAATATTCTAAATGTTTAGCACAACATGTAGTGAAAAGGTTATTTTCTTTGCCTGTATTTCATAAGCAGGTATTTTAAAAGGTTAAACTTGGCTAAGGCCATCCAGACAGATCTAGTCTGCTGCTCTCTCTGGAGTCTGAGGCTGAGAAGACCAGAGTAAGCAGGTATTCTGGTATGTATTTTCCATTCAGAATTATGGAAGTTGCAAATAAAATCCTGGCCACAGTAGTTGTTATCGCTGAAGTCAGTAAAGCCAGATTTTCATTCCATGTGTCTAAGCCCTCAGAAAGCTTTCTTACCTCACTGTTCAATTTTATTCTCACATACCTTCTATTCAGTAGTTACTTACACTGAAATCAAAGGAGTTAGAGTACAGGAGAAAGAATTCTCCATTTGACTTTAAGGGATATTTCTAGATCCAATTCATCCAGATGAGTAATAATTAAGTATCATTGTGTCTCTGAGGAGAACATCTGCTACAAGTTCTTTGGCTTGCTATTGCTGGCATATTCCAGAGCTGGACGGAACAGGGAAGTGGGAGGTTCACTATAGTGTTTAATAGAGGGTTGTGTCCCTTTTGACTGGTGACACCACTAAATACAGACATGACTGTAAATGGGAGAGGTTTTGCTGGACTATGCTGGAAAGAACAAACCAGAACTAAAGCTTGTGGCCAGGCCCTCCTTTCCTCTAAACCTCTGCCAACCCAGAGTAACCTTTTAGTGGCATATGAAAGTGATTAGTTTCCCTCTCCATACATGATATTTTTTTCATTCTGCTTCTCAATTTAGGCATTTCTCTTAGTTCTGCATCTTATATGAAGGAGGTGTTTAATCCAGTCCTTTTCTGTGGTCTTTTATTCTACCAGGCACAAGCAAGGGGAGAAAGATGGCTGGGGGGTTCGCTGGCACCTGGGCTGTTTTGTATCAATAGCCCCTCACTGCACTTTAGCACATGAGCATTTATATTGGGGTCCTAAAGTCACAGATTTAGATACAGTTTAAGGGGAAATCTAAACATAATCCATCCACTAACACTCTGTCTGTGTATGTGTGAAGACAACTTTGGAAGCAGGATCTGATCAAAAAGATCATGGCAGACTGTCCTTGTTTGGCAAATCAACTTCTCCAAACTGTGCTGTGGCCAATGTTCAAAACACTTTTTTCTAGATATACAGGCATTAATTACAAAAGCCTCATACAGCACCACACTTTACCTTCTACTACATCCTTTCAGCCCTTGTCTCCAAACCCATCCTACCCATCATGACATTGTACTACCCCAGCAATACACACAACTTTTCTGCAGCTTCCCTCCAGTCTCTCCTCCTCACATGCATAAACAGCAGTGGTAATGGGATTCAGAGTCCAGCTTTAGAAACAAATAAGTTCTTACCAGCCAACTCCACCACCATTGTGCAATGCAACCCAGGTCGCTCCTCTGAATGCATCTCCAACAAAATTTTGCACGGCCATATCTAGGAGGAGAAGAAAGGTGTTATGGCTCTGACATGCTGCTCTGACATTCATTTCTTCTGTTGTGCTGCTCACTCCTTCCACTAACACCTTGATCTTGGCTGTGTGAATTGGAAGCAGGGTTTACTCACAGCTTCACTCACAGATAACCAGTGAACATCTCTCTTGCCTGTTCCTCCCAAGAATGAGATTTTCCTGCCACTCTTACCCCCTACACTGGAGGAAGCAAATGCCAATTTCACACTGTGGTTTGTGAGAACTCAGGTGCTTTCTGCATTTGTGATCCAATTCAAGCAGTTGAACCTACCACTCCTCAGCTGAGAGGCACCTCATCAGAGTGGAGAGAAATAGAATCCTCTCCTTTGGGATGCCTCTATTGTGGAAGGACAGGCTGGAAACATCCATGAGAAAGGTTTCAAAATGGGGAGGACATCTGGAAAACTACACACCTTGCAGTTCTCAGAAGCCTGAAGTATTTGCAGATCAGACTGCAGAGCTAATTCATCCCTGTGCAGAAAGCCAGTTTAAAGCTAAGGAGTTGCATATTGGGAACAAATTTGGGATAAAAGTGATATTGGCTCTGATTCTCTGGACATGGGGGAATTTTCTCCTGAACACAAACTGGTGAAATCACACAGGAGGTTTCTTTTGTTTTTTTAAAAAAATGATGAAAAATAATTTAACAGACAAATGTAATTTTACTAATGTAAAAATGCATGATTTTCACTGAAATGTTCACTAGAATTTTTTATGTTCACTACAATTTGTGCTAAAGCATATACCTAGAGAGGTGGAAAGAGGTACACAGAGAGGATAACAGGGTAAAGTTTACTGAAAATGTTTTTCCAGATTTAATTCAGGACAGGTTTAATAGTTAATTTGCTGTGCTTTTAACAGAAAAAAAAAAAATAAAGAGACAAACAGCAATATGCCCACCAGCCACATTTGCAGACCCACAGTTGTTACGTGCCTGATGGAAAAATGGGTTTACTTAAGCACTAATCTATGTTAAATCCTGTCAAAAGCCCCATTATGGTACCTTATCTAGCATTATGGCACTTTAATAACCCAATTATCATAATTACAGTGCTGTCAAGGGGAAATGGGAGAGATCAAAATCCCCATATTCTAAAAATGTATGGATTTCTTCGTCAGTCACTAGCATGGTAAGAGTGGAGGTTGGAAAAGGAGCATGGCAACTGGACTAAGGATGCAATAATGTGCTGCTCCTTGGCTCAGTAAAGGTCACTAACTGTGCAAATGGCTGTGCTGAAATACACTTTGCAGAGCACCAATGACACGTGTTTGCCAAGGATCAGGCTGAGGTACTTACTGTAAAACAAAATGAGACAGGCAAACACTCTGCAAAATTCCTTTGTGCTAGAGAGGAGAATTTCACCTGAACCAGCTCAAATGTGGTGTTAAAATAACAAGAAAGGAGAGAGGAAGACCTAAGATGTTCTTTTATTACCGCTAGAAGCTTATCTGGTAAAACAGAGTTAGGCCTGGTTTCAAAGACCGGTGAAATCAGTGGTCAACAAGCTTTAGATAAGCCCTTGGAGAAGGCAAATAGTTCATGTAAATCACAAAATGCAAAGAAAAACACTTAGCATGATGAGCACTGGAGTTTTAGCAAGCCTTGTTTCTACTGCCCTCTTCTAAGGGCATTGCCTGAGGTTTGCTTATGTTGCTAAGCCCTTTGGTGGAGACATTACTTTGGATTGCTCTTCTCTGTACAGCTGCACCATTTTCCTCACAGCTTGTCAGAACCAAACATTATTTGAGGCATCTGTCAATCTGGCCTATTAGAACTAGCCAACATACTCAAAAAGTGTTGAAGTGGGATTGGTAGATAGAGCTAAAAGCCTCATTTCATCAGGAAATCCAGTTAAGATAGCAGGGAACTTATCTCCTTAAAATTGAGCCATAATTTGGTTCTATTATGAATTCCCATAATGGAAGTAATTCAATATTCTCAGCTACCCCTATCATAATTTCTCCTTCTACAGCAGCTTGCATCCTCCAGTCTCAAGCCACTTTGTGACTGTCAGTTCATGACACACAGAAACACTACTGGGCTAAAGCTATTATCATAATTTCTACTTTATGGATGGAAAATTGAGGAAGATTTAGGTTAAAAATAGCTTAGTGCTTCACTCATCTTTTTTCAGGTCTCCAATCTGATATTTCTTGGCTTTATTTTTCTAAAGCACCATTTCACAGCCTTAAAAGCAGAGTCTGGTTAGCTCAGGTCAGGTGTGCAGAATTAAAGGCTCCTATTGTATAGCAAACCTACATGATTTGCCCACAGTCACACTGTAAGTGAAGGCTAATCCACAACACCTGACTTCCTTTCTTATGCTTTTACTATCGAAGTATGTTCCCTTATGCCCAGAAGAGTTCCTTTCAGAAACTCCAGACTCTTTTCTTGAGTCCTCAGGCAATGAAATGAGCACAGCTGTGAACCTTTTTGCTTTAAGCAAAATACTATTCTAGACCTGATTTTGATCTTGTGGATCCCAAGGGAATACAGCTGTAATTCTGCTAAGATCACCTCCTTGAAACAGTGAGGTGCAAAATTTAAATCAAACATAAAATACAGTTCTCTGAGATAGACTGCTCTCCATTTACATTCAGGTAAATCTGATGCATCTTCATGGAATTTTCAGCTTTGTTCTGGATGTCTCCTATTTAACTAGCTCCACATTCATGTCTCTATCACTATTAAATCCCATAAAGCTTCTCAGGAAATCTGATTAATTGGCATTAAAGGGTTAAACAAAACCCTTTTAAAAGTGTTTCATAAAAAAAAATTAAATTTCTCTTTTAAAGCAATTTCCTTGGTTGCCCAGACAGACAAGCCTCAGCTGCTCTGCTGACCTGCACAAAAGGCTGATCCATCATAAATGTTTGACGTTTCTCTGTAAGGACTGTCGGTCCCACTCACATCATGGTGATCTCGGCTGAGGACTACTGGAGCCTGCAAAAAGCCAAGGACAAGAAAATGGAATCCTTCATGGACTGTCAAGGCTACTGAAGATCATCATTTGCTGAATTCACTACTGTCTTAAGTAATTTCAAACCTCAGCTTTGTACCCTCTCCTAAACCCCCTGCAACACTTTCTCTGCCGGCTATTACTTATTATAAAACAGTTGTTCACATACTGTTCATGAAAACCATCATCATTTCCTAACTAAGAACAAGAGCTTGTTTTTATGCCAATGGCATCCCCAAAGGAGGGCAGGGAGAAGAGGGGATGCAGCATGGTTATTTCATCTGAGATGAAAGACACTTTGGTATGCAAAAATCTTCATTCAAAAATAGTTCTTATTTGCTGTTGAATTTGAAAACAAGCAGTAAAGAATTTTACAGTTTTCATTCTTTTGAAAGACTTCAAGACTCTAAATAAGTTAACAACGAAAATTAGTGATTTCACACAGCTCAGACAAGTCCATTCTTGATCTGGAATTTACCTGACAGTATGAATCTAGATCAGCTTGCATGTCTTCATTATCATTTGCCATGCACAGGATTTATTTAAGAATAATTCACTCTTGACATGGTGTGGTCTGGAATTAGCTGGCTCTGTTTTATGCTGGCAGTGAATTAGAAAATCATTGAAAATAGACATGGGCACCCAGCTTGCAAGAGGGGGAACAGAGATTTGCAGAAATGAAAAAAGGACACAACAAAATCTGAAGGGCCTGGGAGTCTGACCTTGTCAGTCATGGCTCCAAGGGAGTGCCCTGTCTGGTCAGGTTTATTTTTTAAGATTAGCTTGCAGTGACGTTCACTTTGAATCCTGAGAAGGTCAACAGCATTTGAAATATTTTAACAAACATTTTCTGAGTAACAAAAACCAGACCTTTCCTTGCTGGAATCCATTCTAAGTTTTACTTTAGCTTGCGCCTTTAAAAAGAGTAATTGTAATTCAGCTATAAAAGAGACGGAGATGAATGAGTGAACCTGCCTTGGTCTGATGCTGCAGTACACACAGCAGGTAATGGGTATAATTACTGAGTGGGGCCTTCAGAATGTTGGGTCCCCCCGGGATATCACATTGTACATCTACCTACAATGCTTATGAAGAACTTAAAAAATCCCTATACAATCTTGCCCATAGTATGTACTTTTACCACCACCACATATGGTCAGTGAGATTTCACCTAGATGAGCAAGATATTATTCGTTAGGCACTAGAGTGGCAGCATCAAGCCTCATGATTTTTCACATATGCAATGCAAATTAAAATTGACTGCAGAGCTGGCTGTAGCCATAATACAGCTGAAAGTGAGGGACAGAAGGTAAGAAGCACTGGGCAGTGGCACTGACTCTTGTTACTTTTAATGCTTGGAGCACTGCTGAGTTACAGTCCCTACCTTGTGTTTTCAGCAAATCACAGCATGATATGTTATGCTTGTAGATGCCCAAGTGAAAATAAGGCAGATTCCCAACATGTGACAAAAAGTAGCATATTTCAGAGAATTTCTAAACCTGTCTGTCTTCTATTACATAGTGATAATTACTATTACATAATACTGGTGACAGGCAGAGAGGAGGACTGAGCTCTAATATATGCTAACACAATACTGGTCCCATGTAAACAGCAGGCACTTCTGCTCTCACTGGTTGAAGCTTTCTCCTTTCCCATCTGCCACCCCAGTCTCAGACACTAAACACAATTACCAGACCATATTCAAGATAAAAAAAGACAAACCTTAATCCTTCCTTCGGAAATCGCTCGATTAATAGCCACAGCTATAGACACACGACCCCTCTGATCAGAATACAAGATTCTAGCTTGAGACCCAACTACCTGGAAAATAAGAATACCAGACCGATAAGATTCTCTGTGCAACTGGCTTATCTTCAGGCCCCAGATAAATGGAGTCACAGGACTGACCCATTCTGTAGGAGAAAGTGCAGATTATTTCTTTGTCAACATCCAGCTTCCAGAAAAAAAGAAATTAAAATCCCTCTTTGAGCTGAGTTTTATCTCCACTCACACAATCAGTGAGATGTATTTCTGTATTCTGCTGCTACTGTCCAATAAATCCCACTTTTTAAATCAAACTGATTGTTAGGCTATAATCCCTCTATCAACAAATCCCTTATCAACAGCTGAGAAGCAGATGTTTGGAACTGGCAACAGTGAGCTGGAAGGGAAGAGAAATCTGGAAACAAAGAATGGCAAAGAACACCTGTCCTGCACAGTTATGCTCCTCTCCAGCTTTCATGCCACAGACCAATCTGGCTTCCAGATGAGGAGAGCGCATGTGAGCCCTATGGTGTTACCAATTATCTTCACAGGGAGACCCTGCCCTAAAAGAAAAACAAAGGATGCTTCACTGGCATCCTGCTTCCCACAGTGCAAAAGGATGGCAGCTCTTTGGCCTCATCACCTGTTTTGAAAGGGGTACTGGGAACCACAGGTGTGAAGAGGTTGGGCCAAAGCAATGCCAAGAGGGATATTTTGAACAGTGATCTGAAAGAAAGGGAGTTACAAATGAGGTGGAGGGTGAATCATTGACTTGTTGCACTCCAGATATTGCTGCATTATTTGAACATTTCCAGATGAGGAAGTGAAGAGAAAGAACTGCTTTATCTCATCCTAAAACCCTGCTGTGGAGAGATGTTTAAACTATCAACCCTGGGAGTTAC